TTGGTGGAGGTCGCAGAAAGCATTCTCGTCGTAATTCGAATTTCTCGTCCACGTGTTACCCGTAGTTCGCCCTTGCTCCGAACCGGAGTTGATAGCGTAGTTATGCGCCCCTCGGAGATCCTGTCCCTCGTGATGGACGAATTTGTCGTTACGAGAGCTTTTCTTTTTCTGCTTCTGCTCGGGCGCGCTATCCTTTGCGGATGTTTTCGCCGGCTTATGTTTTTCGGACAGGATTTTGGTTTCCTCCTCGATAGTTATGAAATCGGTGGCTTTATGGAGCGCATCTTGGATCGTCCGCGGTTTCTCGAGAGTTATCCATCTGCGGAACTCCGATTTATACCAGAGCGATTTCCTTGACGCGTCGATGGCGGCTTTGTCGCTGATCCCGCTAACCCTAGCCATGACGAGTTTGAATCTACTCATGATATCGCGGAGAGGTTCGTCTTCCCCTTGCACCAAACTCCAGAGGTCGGCGTCGGAGGTCTCCGGGTTGATAAACATCGAGTACTGTTTCAAGAACTCTGAAGCCAGTCGACGGAAACTTCCGATCGAATTTCGCCTGAGTTTGGTGAACCATTCGAGCGCAGCTCCTTCTAGGTTTTCGACGAAGAGGCGGCAGTAACCTGCGTCTTTTTCGTGGTCCTTGAACTTGGCTCGTCCCATAGTGATCTGGAACGCTTGTAGGTGCGCTTTGGGATCGGTCGTCCCGTCGTAAGTTGGCACCTTAAGCTTTCCGGGATCGGGCAGTTTGATCTCGGTGATGCGAGCCGTGAAAGGCGTTTTCCGAGATTCGTACAGCAGCCGATCGATCTCGGGTGCGGCGCTGGTCGCGTAGTGAATCTGAGATTTCACCGCTTTTACCGCTGCGGCCGTTTTGGTAATGTATTCGCGAAGGTCGCGGATCTCGGTCCGATTGCCAGCAGTTTTCCGACCCTGTCGGCGTTTGCTGCGAGTAACCGGAGACCGCTCCTCGGCGGTTTTTGCATATCGCGCGAAGTCGGGTTCCCCTTCGTCTCCAGTAAAGGAATGTTCGGGAGACGACTCCGGTTGAGGACTGCGAGTTTTCCTTCTCCTAGGATGAACGTCGGCGTCTTCGTCTGTCGAGTCGGCCTGGTCGCTCGTTTCCAGGTTGACCCTTTCGATGCCGTCGCCTTCGGTTTCCTGTTCGCGAGTAGGAGATTTTT